TCTCCCACTGTTTAGCAGAGGGACTCGGTCAGCTCCATGCTTTGGGGTTAAAATTCTTGATTTTTTAAATGTTCGGAAAAAGGACATCATTTTGATTGTTGTCTATGACAGATGTTACCTACTGTAAATATTTCTAATATTAACAAGGACTGACTTTGTATAGAACTTTCAGTTCTGTAACTTAATTCTTTGAGAGTATATCCAAAAAGAACAAATTGGTTAACAGAGGCAACATCAGCTCCTCGCTGACCACATTTCAGGCTGCAGATGGTGAGTGAATCAGTGTGGGTTTTATTCTGCTGTGCGGTTTCCATGTTGTAGACCTAAAACCCACAACAAATATGTGAAGGCAGTTCTGGTTCACATTTTCCTTCCCGCGGCTTGTAAACTAGCGTACATATTGATGGTATCTCATTTTCTGTTATCTTTTTCCCCCTCGATTTCACTAGAAAACTTTTTGCCGTTTTTTTTTTTTTTTGGTATTGTATCATTGCCAGTGAACTATATTACACAAAATATGCTAAGCAAATCAAATTAGTGTATATAGAATTCATTTGTGAAGACTAATGAGCTGATTTAAATGCTGACTTATCTTTAGTGAATAAAATTGTTTCCCTTGATGAGTTGCTGTCTTGAGAATTGATTGGAACATTGTTTGCTCAAAATCTTACCTCTGTTGTTTTCTTTTTTTGACAGTAGATGCCTGGTAGACATCTTAGAACTTTAAAAACAGAGAAGACCTGCTTTTAGGGGAAAATGCTGAGGGACACTATGAAATCTTGGAATGATAGCCAGTCAGGTCTCTGTACCAGTGACCAAGAAGAGGAAGAAGAGATGGTTTTTGGTGAAAATGAAGATGACTTGGAAGAGATGATGGATTTAAGTGATCTGCCCACCTCTCTTTTTGCCTGCAGTGTCCATGAAGCAGTGTTTGAGGTGCAAGAGCAGAAGGTAGGCGCACGTCCTGCCTTTCCCTGCATTGGTAGTGTGTTGACTGTATGTGGACTGGGGGGAACAGAGCAGATGGCTGCCATTTGCAGAGTCTGTTACTGGTCCATGACAAGTACGGAAAAGATCATCAACCTTTACGCATTTGCTGCAGCATTTTTATAGTGTTTTTTTCTTTTCATTTTATTTATAGTAATAAGTGTCAGTCTGCAATAGAGAGGACATATTTCCTTCCCCACAAATATTTTGGGAACCACTGGTTTATAGTGAATCAGGTTTTATTAAGTGCATTTATTCATTCATTCACCCACTTTTGGAGCCTGTAGTTAAGAAAAAGCTACTGATTTTTAGTGTGGCTTCCTATTAATTGGGAATAAATTCACAAAAGTTCTTTTCTGGGGCTAATTGAATAATTAGGACTATGTGTGATTTCATTGTAATAGAATCTATATATATAAAAGCCTGAGTGACCGTTATGACCGAATGACCGGAACAACCAGTTGCTATGACATGCACTGACCACCAGGGGCAGACGCTCAATGCAGGAGCTGCCCCCGGTGGTCAGTGTGCTCCCGCAGCCAACCTCCCCTGGCCGGCCAACCTCCCACCGTCCCTCCCCCCAGGCGGCAGGCCCCGATCACCTGATTGGGGCCGGGGAATCGGGTGGGTGGCGGTGGGGCTGGTGGCCAACCTCCCCCTGGCTGGCAGTGACGGTGTGGCGGCGAGAGAAGAGGGAAGCGGGGAACCGTGTGGTGGTGAGGCACCAAAAGCGGTGTCGGTGTCCGGCGTCCATTCCTTCCACGCCCGGCCCAACGACTGTCGCCTCCTCTCCCGACCCTGCCAGGGCCTTCAGGTCCCAATTGGCCTGGCCCCGATTGGCCAGGCCTAGGGACCCCACCTGTGCTCGAATTTCATGCACCAGGCCTCTAGTTGTTAATATTTCTTGTTTTACTTTCTACAGTTTGACTTGGGCAAAATGGTTATTTTTTAATCGTTGCTTTCCTTTAGTTCATTTATTATTTACCTGGAAAGAGAGAGGTTTTGTGTGTTTTCTGTCATGACCTCACAAAAGCCTATAGGACTTAGTCCTGCCGGAGTAAAATATTTCTCCCATTGCTACAAATTTGGCATGTTTTGAGACTTTCTCTCACAGTGCTATCAGCAGACCTCTCAGTTTGTGTCTGTCACTGGTTTCCTCCCAGTGACTTCCTTGGAGCAGAACCCCATATAGTTTGACTCAGTACATACTTGAGTGCCTCCACTGTGTAGAGCACCGTGCCAGTCGCTTCAGGGCACAGAGCAGGAACTGAAACCGCTTCTGCCTGAGGCAGTTGACAGTCCTGCAGTGGAGAGAAGTCGTTTGATGTACGATGGAATCCCAGTGCCTTTAGAGACACTTGACAGTACATTGGTGAGAGGGTGACAACCAGTTGGCATAAAAGTTCTTATGGGGAGATGACGTTGGGGTAGAGCTGTGAGAGTTGGGTAGGAAGTTAGTGAGGAAAGGAAGGGGAGTTCTGACCAGAGGGAAGAAAATGAATGAAAGAGCTGATTCATGAAGAGGGTGGACCAACCACTTCAGCGAGTAGTAAGCAGTTCCGTGTGGCTAGTGCATAGGTGAGATGTAGCCAAAGGCAAGAGAAATCTGGCCAGGGCCCTGGCTGGGTAGCTCAGTTGGTTAGAGCATTGTCCTGATACGCCAAGGTGGCAGGTTTGATCCCTGTTCAGAGCACATACAAGAATCAACGAATGAATGCATAAATAAGTGGAACAACAAATCAACTTTTCTCTCTCTAAAATTAATAAACAAAAATTTTTAAAAAGAAAATTTATTTATTTATTTATTTTAAATATATATTTTATTGATTTCGGAGAGGAAGAGAGAAGGGAGAGAGGTAGAAACATCAGTGATGAGAGAGAATCATTGATCGGCTACCTCCTGCACACCCCATATTGGGGATTGAGCCCACATGTGCCTTGATGGGGAAGCCATCCATGACTTCCTGGTTCATAGATTGACACTCAACCACTGAGCCACACTGGCCAGGTGAAAATTCATTTTCTTTAAAAAAAGAGAAATCGGGCAGGAAAGTGAGTGTGGGGCATCCTGCAAAGCTCAGGAGCTGGCCCTTCTGTGGTAAATAACCTTCTGAGCAACGAGTGATGATCAGAATTATGCGTTAGGAAGATTACCTGACAGCATGTGAGGCCGTGGAGGAAGGAGAGCCTGCAGCAGGGAGCCAGTTAGGAGAGAGGATGCTGGAGCAGCAAACGGGCCTGGAGATGCTGCAGACCCAAAAGTGGAACAAGGGGGCCGGAATACAGCCGCCAATTTTTTATCTTTTGGGTTTGTTTTCATTTACAAATGCTGTTTTCTTTCCCATGTTCAGTCATAATATAGAAATTTTGAAATAATCCGATCCTAATTTTCTCATACTTCCTAAGAACTCTAAATTTTCATATAATTACATTAACCTTGTTTATTTGTTGTGAGAAGCACATATGCTACTAGTTTATCTTAAAATGATATTCATCTGGAGCACTTTAGATTTTGCTACTTGGGCAATTTTGAATTTGGGGTCAAATAAACTCTTTTGTAAAAAAAAAAAATATATATATATATATATATATATATATATATATACACACACACACACACATATATTTTTTTTTTCATAAGAATTCATTCCAGAAACTTTACTATATTATCGGTTCCAACTTTTCTTTTTTAACTGTAGCCTAGAAAATTTTTTAACTTGCCAAAGCAGTGAATTCTTATTGGTTTTTCATTAAAAAAAAAAACTATACAGGGGTGGGCAAAAATAGGTTTATAATTGTAATACAAATAAATAATACAATAATTAATAATAACACAAGAATAAACTCTTGGGTTTTTTGTACTCAAAACTATAAACCCATCTTTCCCTTCCCTGTATCTAACCTAAATGTCTATTGGAAATCATATCAGCAGAAATTCTAGTAGCAGTTCAGTGGATTTCAAGTAATTTACACTTCTTAGTCATAGTAAATCCTATATAGTAAAAGCCTAATATGCTAAGTGTCTGGTCATCCGGTCAGCCATTCAACCAGTCAAAGTGTAATATGCTAATGATATGCTAAGGCCACTCAGTCGCTCGCTATGATGTGCACTGACCACCAAGGGGCAGACAGTCAACCAGTCACTATGATATGCATTGACCACCAGGGGGCAGACGCTCCGACCAGTAGGTTAGCTTGCTGCTGGGGTCCAGCCGATCCGAACTGAGTGAGACGGGCTGGACCCTGAAGCCCTTCCATGGTCCCTCCCTGGCTGGCCAACCTCCCGTGTCCCTCCCTGGCCCCAATCTTGCACCAGTGGGGTCCCTCGGCCTGGCCTGCACCCTCTTGCAATCTGGGACCCCTCCGGGGATGTCGGAGAGCCGGTTTCGGCCCGACGGCGGAACAACCGGTGTCTATGATGCACACTGACCACCAGGGGGCAGACGCTCAATGCAGGAGCTGCCCCCGGTGGTCAGTGCACTCCCACAGGGGGAGCGCCGCTCAGCCAGAAGCCGGGCTCACGACTGGCGAGCGCAGCGGCGGTGGTGGGAGCCTCTGCTGCCTCTGCAGCAGCGCTAAGGATGTCCAACTGCTGGCTTAGGCCCGCTCCCCAGTGAGTGGATCTAAGCCGGCAGTCAGACATCCCCCAAGGGCTCCTGGACTGTGAGAGGGCGCAGGCCGGGCTGAGGGACCCCCTCCCTCCCGAGTGCACAAATTTCATGCACCGGGCCTCTGGTTTTATATTAAAACCTTAATAGTTATACACTGGAAACTGTAAAATATAAAATGTTTATATAATAAAATTATGTGAATCATCAATGGATAAGAAATGTGAAGAGAATCAAATGTTTTCTTTACCTTTTTCTTCTCACAGTCAGTGTCTTATTCTGCTGTAATTTTTCCAGAATAACCCATTTATGCAGGTCATCCACATACATGCAAAGAACAAAGCAAAACAAAAACCATTTCTGGGGGATTATAGGCAGGATCATTGTGATTGCAATTAAATGCTTTATTTTCAAAAGAATCTTAGGTTGTTTTTATTTCTGACTTAAAGAGCTTTTTATCTTTATAATTTTGTAATTGTTGGAATGAGCTTTTAACCTCTTCTGAATAGTAGACCAAATAACAGGTACCATTTTAATGTACAGGAGACTCTTCATTTTAGATTGCTAGACCTTGGCTCTACATTTTCATTAATGTTTCTTGAAAATAGTGTGTGTGCGGTGGGGAAAGAAAAGTAAAGAATATAATAAACCGTAAGAAAAATAAACTGAGGAAAAGCCTTATCTCTTCATTTATTTTTCTGCAGCAGCATGGGTGTTAGTTTTCATGCATTTGCTCAGCTAAGCAGTAGCTCCATCGGGAGGGCTGCAGGTTTAGTACCTAATTTTTCTGTAACAGATTTGGATTTTTCCCAATATGATTTTTTTATTTACTTGCTCGTTTTTAACCCTAGCTTTTCCTTCCTTAAAATAAGAAAAAAATAAGCAGGCTTCTGATTTGAACATGAGAGGTTTTTAAAATACAGCATAGAGGCCTGGCCAGGTAGCTCAACTGGTTAGAGCATGGTCCTGATACACCAAGGTTACAAGTTCGATCCCTGGTCAAGGCACATACAAGAATCAACCAATGAATACATAAATAAGTGTAACAACAGATCGATGTCTCTCTCTCTTTCACACCTTTCCTCTCTCAAATCAATAAATAAATTTTAAAAATACAACTTAGGTTTTTATAATGTAAGAACTAGGACTGTTTCCTCTCTTTTAGGTCTGTGTGTCTGAGGGGACTCAGTAAATGTTAATGAAAAGCAATGTTGTTGATGGGGACTAACTTTATTAAAAAATGCATATGGCTTTTGGATTATAGTCCCTTCACAAAGTACTGCCCGAAAATGTCTCTACTGATCCGCTCACCAGAGGACATTTGATCTGAGTTTTCTTTTTTCTTTTTTTCTAATT